ATGATAAAGATGACACAGGATAGTGCATGGTTCAGATCTATTGTTCATGGAATCGCTATGAGTCATTGTTGACTGGATGACACACAACAACAACAATTTAATAGCTAATTTTTTTATGCTGGTTTTCTGAGGTTTTTCCTGGTTAATATTTTGCTTTCAGTATCTTCCCTTGTTATTAGTTTCTTTTAGTAGTTAAAAGAAAATATCTTTTTATTTAGGTTATACATTTTCATGGGTGACAGCCAACACTTTAATTATTCTCCACTGGTGAATTAGTTCATCTTTAATGTTACTCCCTTTCTATCTCCACTTTTAACCTTAAAATTGTATAAAATGATTGCACAGAATTCTTTGCCAAAATGTCTTTATTTCTTTAGAAGAGGTTCATGAAGCTGTTATTGACTCGTGAGCAATTAACTAACTTTTAAAAACACTTTGAATGGAAACCATCAGGCATAAACTGTTTAGATTCCTCCCAACAAAGAATGAGTATTTTTCTCTGTTCTAGTCCATACTGGGGCAAAATCAATAGAGCAGCAGAAGGTGATAACTTAAGAAATTAGCATTGATTTTAAAAACTTGCAAACATTGTATTTGTCTAAATGTCTAGATTTTGCTTCCAATGCTATGTTTCTTTTTCTAGATTTTCTATGCTGTTCATGCCTTCCAAGCACGGAGCGACCATGAACTTAGCCTTCAGGAGTACCAAAGAGTCCATATACTTAGATTTTGTGACTTAAGTGGCAATAAAGAGTGGTGGTTAGCTGAAGCTCAAGGACAGAAGGGCTACGTGCCTGCTAACTACCTCGGGAAGATGACTTATGCTTAAGAAAATAAGCCTTTGACTTTTATTTTCTGTCAAGCTGTTGACTGACTACCTCATAAAAGTGGCATTACAAACAGTTGGCCCAGGAAACAAGGAACCTCCATGAAATGATATTGTATCAGGCTTTAAAGAAGGTAGTGCTTCCTAACAAGGTTATTTCATGAATGTATTAAGAATGCATTTCGAAGGAAACACTAAATCAGCTGAAAGAGCAACATAGCTCATACTCCAATTCACAACTGACTGTCTTTTGAGACTAAATGTGGCCTTTTGTAACCATGAAAGTTTAATTCTAAGGGCAAGGTTTTAAAATTTACTGTATTATACTTTACTGCATTACATTCTGTTTTCTCAAGTATGTTTTTGGTTTTTCCCTTATGTGCCCCCCCACACACACACACACACACTCTTCCACACCTAGGGAACTCTGGTAGCTTAGTGGTAAAGAGTGGTGCCAAAGGCAGGCAGTTCAAATCACCAACTGCTCCTTGGAAGAAAGATGGGCAGTCTCTTCTTGTGCAATTTATAGTGTCTGGAAACCTGCTGGAGAGTTCAGCTGTGAGTCAACTTCAAGCAATATGTGTAAAGAGCAGGGAGAATCCTAAATACGCATGAGAATAAAAAGATATCAATATCCAGCTCACTCATTCAATGCAATTGAGTCAGAATTGACTCATAGCTGAGGGCATTGTCCATCTCGTTCTCTCAGAACCTGTGGTGGAGTCAAACCTCCAGGAAGGCTCAGCCTTTGGGTTAACAGGTCAACTCTTTATAGACTGCTTGCCACTAGAGGTTCCCCATATCCAACCAGAAATTTTAATGCAGAGTGCCTCTTTAACATAAGTCTTGAGTAACAACAACAAAGGACTAGCATGACAATGATAATATTTAACATTTGAATATATAAGTCAGCCAAGTTGTAATTTACTTGATGCTCTTCACATTTTGAGCAAAGTGAGGCACAAAGAGATGAAGTAGTTTAGCACATATCGCAATGTTAATAAGTTGTAGAACTGAGACTCCATTAGGTAGTGTGATTCCAGTATCCTGTTCTTAACTAGGAGTTGTGCTAACCCTTGGGAAGTATGTACATTTTCTATTTGCAAAATAATAAGTGATACAAATAATAAACATTAGCTAAGATGATTTTCCTTCTGTGCTTATGATTAAGCACTTAGAAATTTTTTCCAAATCAAGGAATACAATAACTTATAATTCTGTAATTTTAGAGAAAATAAGGCATTGATTATTTCAGTTGCAAGTATGGTTGTCTAAAAACTGGTCTACGTGATTGCTAACAATCCTTCACTGTGAGAATGTATTTGTATAGCTCAGCCATTGGAATGATGACTGTAGAACATGTGTTCTGTGTTTTCAGACAAGATATAAATACTTTGAATTGTCGATTTATACTTAGACTAAAGCAGGCACCAAGGAAATATTTACTGTCACATATGTCCTTGGACACTGACCTTTATTTGCTAGGAGGATTGTTCCCTGGAATTTCAGGTTTATTTTGTCAAGACATTTTGTAGAACAAAAAGGAGATTAAATTAAACTTTAGTGGTTTCCTTTAAAAATCAAAGATGGACTTTCAATGTCCCTAGGAAATGTGCTAATGTGACATTATATTTTAACATTTATGGTTACTTTCAAAGCTTTATTTAGTCCATATAATGTATATTGTGCTGCATATATTACTCAGGAATAAAAGTAACAATTGAGCAGTACCACCTTTCTGAGGATTCTGACTTTTATGTATATGGTGTAGACAGCCACAGGTATCTATGCAAGGCATTTAAATGAAATAAAAATTTACATTTTATATCATTCCTGAAATTCTTTGTCTAAACATGATTCTATAAGGTTCTACTACTAAAATACTTCTTGCATAAAATATTTTTATTTTGAACTATACACCAAAAGTAAACTTGCCATTAGATATGCAGTGACTCTGAATGTCGCTTTGCCATTAGATATGCAGTGACTCTGAATGTCGCTCCATAATCTATGTACCCAATTTTAAAATATAAGTAAATTCCAATTTTTTTAAGCTAAAATGACAAGAAATGCAAATTGGCTATAAGCCATGAACATAGCCAATGGATGAAATAGAAGACAAATTTTTATCATACATATTTTAAATTTTAAATGTATACATTAAAAAAAAATGTTGACCTTAATACTCTCCACACAAATGAATTAAATAAAGCAGCAATCTGATTTTCCAGCTGAAATAAGTGACTAGATGTGTATGTGAAGCTTGACTGCTTGTGCAGTCCTAAGAATGTGCTTCCTGCCTGACCTTTGAGGAACCCACACCACTAACACCAGAGCTGCAGTCAGCTGCGGAGCAGGAATTGTAATGATGCCAACTACTGCAGTTCACTACTATTCACTATTGTGGCAAACATACAGCACTAGAAAACTATGGCGTTTTAAAAAGCCAGCCTATTTTCCTATGTCATTTGGCTATTATCATGAACATTACACAACACTGTAATTTTCTAAGTATGCTTTTTAAAATAAGGAATTGTAATTTTGAACTCAGATTTAAGAGAAATAAAGTCTCCAAATAGTTATAAGGTGTGAAAATTTTGCAAGTAGCTTAAAAAGATAAAACCACTGTTGACGTAGTTAAGGAAAGATATGCTAATGTAATTAAAAATTTTCTGTTCTAACTGCTGTTGTGCAGTATAGGATCCTCTGAAGTAGGTATTTTTACCAAGAATGAAGAGGGCATTATGTGTGTACGTGTGTATGTGTTAAGTTCATGTACACATTTTGATTTAGTGTTTCTTTTTAAATACTAATGCTCAAAATTAATATTTTATAGTTTAAAAATGATAAAAAAATCCAGGAACAAAAAAGCCCCACCTTAGGTACTTAATGAAAAAAGATCACAAAGTCACTATTTGAATGTTTCTTCTATTTCAGAAACATGTCTTGTTTTATTTATTTTTATAATTATATAAAGGTTGGAAATAGATAAAATGTACATTGTTAATTACAACAATGAAGGAAGCATTGAATTAAATACTTTGCATGTTAGTGCTTTTTATATTTTACTCAAAATTGTTGCTTTTATAGATGGCTATTAAATGCTTTTCATTGTGACAAATACTATTCAGGTGATCTAAAAGAATGTTTTTGTTGCTAAAACATGAAATGGGAAACTCTTCAATTTCCCCAGACATTTACTGAAATTTTGTCCATTGCACATACCTCTGAAGACCATGTGAATAAAAGAAGGGAATAATTATATAATAAAATGGCAAGAAAGCCACCTTATTTACAACCTGTTTATTGTAACAAAGGCTCTTTACAGTGTATGTTGTACTACTGCTCAACACTGAATAATATACCTAGACTTTACAAAATTAATCCTAAATTACATAGAAATTTACATCATAGCAGATGAGGAAGTGATGTAGTGACTACCACGATGGGTTTGAGCAGAACAGAAATCACAAAGATGGCACAGAATTCAGCGAGCTTCAAAGCTCTTAGGGTTGCTAGTGGCACCTAAGAATAGATTAGGAAGTAATGAAATGTCATTGATTGGAAAGAACCTGGGCTTTGTATTTTCTACAAACAGCCTACTATTTATAAAATAATATTTTAAACTTCTAGCCTTCTATTACATACATACCAAACACTATATATAAAAATCACAGATATTAGTATCTGTGATCCATGAAACTGTTCCAATATAATAAATTTCCACTCTATACCTACAAGAATGGAAGTTGAAGCTATAGTACTGCTTTTAGGTGTTACCCTCTAATCCAGGTATTTCCCTTTAGTTTTTCTGGGGAAAAAGTCAACATTTTAGTAAATTTTGGAATATGTTCTTGTTCAAAATCTTGTGAATGTATTTTTAATAAATTCATTTTCTTATTTAAAAATAATATTGATATGTAAATATATGATTTTTATGTAATTGTATAATTTTAAAAATTATATTAATAAAGTTTTATTTTTATAAAATGATGCATTTCTTCCAAAATCTGTCTATGTTCATTACAGTATAATTTGTGCTTTGAGTCACTCTTCTTTAGAAACAAGGATGGAAAGACTTCATGGTATGTGCTGTTGACATTCCTTAGATTTGAAAAAGACTTTCTTGGTAGCGGATCACCAAGAAAGAAGACAACCTTCAATGATATAGACTGATACAGTGATTGTAACAATAGCTCTAAACAAAGCAAAAATTTTAAGGATGGTGCAGGACTGAGCAATATTTCATTCTATTGGGTTGGGTTTCCTGAGTCAGAACTGACTTGTTGGCACCTGATAACCTCACATCGTTGTGGAGAGTTGGAATAATTTAATCTTTGAATATTAGATACTTTCTATCTAATCTCACTTTATCTATAGCTTTATAAAGGAGGGAATAAAGGAGGACCACACATCTAATACACGGAAATTCAAAGCCAGTTTTCAAGGCCAGTTTTGTTCCAGTGCTTTTCCTTCTGTTCCTCCTCCCTTTAATAACTACAGTATGGTTACAAGATCTTACAGGAAGTCTAATATGCAAAATGTAAAAATGATACCAACAGCACTTCAATTAAAATAGGATGAGGGAGTGAGGGAAATTGGAAGAATCTGTTTTGAAAAACAATGTATTTGAATTTTTTAAATAAACTAGCATAATCATAATAATAATATAATGGGATTTGAATATACAATCTCCAAAGCTCTCTTATTGTCTCACTAACTAACCTGCCCACACATTCACTGAACTAATAAATATTTATTGAGAACTGCACTGAAAGTAGAAGAATGTGCAAGACGAAGGTGTAGTCCTCATGAAATTTAAATTCTAGTTGAGAAAGCAAATATACATAACAAAATAAATGATAAATAGTATTCATATTAAGCTGGTTTCTTTGATTACATGCTCAGTTAAAAATCTTGTGGCTGACTTAATGATATGGAAAATTCAAGGTGTAAGAGAATTAACTAAACTCTAAGAACAAATTGAGCTACCTACATTACAGATGTATACATAGTTATACACTTGTATTTATTTCTATGCATCATACAGACATATTATCTTTACAAAGAGCTGTATTCTGTGATGTCATTCCCCAAACAAGTCCTCCATGAAGTCCCATAGAAATGATAATAATTGCATCTCAGCTTTATTTAGTGTATGTGATACAATTGCTAGAACAAAAATTTTCATTTCAAAGGCCAACATACCAAACTGTAGAAAGCATTGTTGTTGTTATTGTTTACCATCAAGTCAGAACCCAACCATTGCTGACCCTCGGGTGGGTTTTCCAAGGCAGTTTATCATTGTTGAGAGTTGGCATCACTTTTCAATAATAGATACGTTCTGTCTTATCTCACTTTATATCTTTATAAAGGAGGAAATCCTCCCACAGGGCTGCTGGCGAATTTGAACTGCAAGCCTTTGGAATTGCAGTGCAGCTTCTTACTGCTAAACCTCCAGAGCTCCCTGTATAAATCATTGTTGTTGAGTACCACTGACCAGTGGGTTTTCAGAGGCTGTTAATTGCACAGGAGGAGGTTTTCCCCTCATTCTTCCTCAGAGCAGCTTGGTGGATTCAAAGAGTGCTTTAGGGATTACAATTCAGCTTCTTACCACGAGGCCATCAGAGCTCTGCAGAAAGCATTACTGCTTTAGTTTCTCATAGGCTGAGTTTATATTAACTTTATAGTTGTGAGCTAAATTTGTGTTAGGTCATTTGGACCAAAATATGCAGTTGCACTGCCTACCCAAAGGCATGCGGTTGGAATCTAGCAGTTACTCTGTGGAAGAAAGATGGGCAAACTCCTTCCATGTGATATGATGCCTCTAACATGCTCTAGAGGGTAAGCTCCTAAATATTTGTATATATGAGTCAGTTCTGATTCAAGCATGCACAACTTCCCCTCCCCCACTTTTGGCCTTCTTGATCTTCTCTAATGAAAGAAATGCTGAGATGATGCAGGCCAATCTAGAGTTTCAACTACAGATGTTTTGCAAAACAAAGTATTATCTATCATCTATCTATAGTTATCTATCTATGTCTATTATCTATCTCTATCTATCTATCTATCTATCTATCTATCTATCTATCTATCTATCTATCTATCTATTATCTATCTTCTATCTTTGATCATCTACCATCTATCGTTATTATTATCTAGATAATCTATCTCTATCTTTTTATCATCTATCTATAGTTTTGTCATTGTTGTGTATACCATAAAGTCTGAACCAATTCAAAGCTGACCCTCCAGAGGGTTTTCAGAGAAAGTTAATTGCACCGGCATCCTTCTCCCATGGAGCAGTTGGTGGTCTCAAAGGTGTCTTCAGGATTGCAGCACAGCTTCTTGCCACTAGGCCATGATATATAGATATAGATATAGATATATAGATAGATAGATACAGATATAGATATATATAGATATAAAAGATATAAAATATAGATATAAGAGATATAAAATACAGATATAAAATATAGATATAAAATATATGTATATACATAAAATTACAGGATTATCTTGACCCTGAATTCTAATAATAACAAAAAGAACTCAGTTCCATTATTAAAATAGTGCTTTCCTTTAGAAAGGAACAAGCTCAGTTTAAATAACTTTATCTCTCCAAAGACAATTCATCAATGAATTAATTGTAGGATGTTAGAAAAATAAAGGAACTAATGGAGCTAATTGAGAGTAGAGGCTTGTAGAGTAAAGATTTAGTAACTTTGCTTCCCATAGATCAAGGTTGGTGAAACAAGGCTAATCAGGCTTGTGATTGTGAGAATTTGTTGGACCTCTAGTATCTGGATGAAATGAGGTGTTCTTGAATCAAAAAGTACTTTTTGTAAGGGCTAATATATGCAAAACAGAGTTTCAAGAATATTTCACAGCTCTTCATGATCTTGGCATTTTCTGTATAATACACTCTGGACTGTAACACCAGATCCCCTCACTCTAAGGAAAGAGTACTGAAAAAATGTTTGCACAATAGACAACTTTGGAAGCTAGTGCCTTCTGGAGCAATTTGTAAGTTACAGAGCCCTGTTTTTCTCTTCCTTGGAGACATACACTGCAAATCGATCCTAATGATTAATCTTTCTGAAGAGGAAGGTGGGGATTAGCAGCCTAAACAAGATTAATCTCCTAATTTTGCAGTTCCTTCTCTGTGATGCAGGCCCACTGCAGCTGCAGATTAACAGCTGGCTTTTGCATTGGGCACCGTGTCCTCAGAAATAAGTACTACATTTTTGTTGCAATTTTCTTAATTTTGCTGAGTTATAAACTATTTCTTTGATTGAGTGAACTTCATGTATTGTATCATATATACATATATGTAGGGCGCTCTGGTGGCTTAGTGGCAAGAAGCTGCGCTGCAATCCTGAAGGCACGCAGTTTGAGGCCACCAGCTGCTTCATGGAGAAGGCTGGGCAATCTCCTCCCCCGTGATTAACTGCCACTGAAAACCTGCTTGTCGGTTCTGACTCTAGAGGTACACAACAATACACATATATGTTTAAAGAATGCATATAAATACATGTATTTGAACATGTAAAACTGTATTAGGCTAATTTATTAGCTTGCAAGTAAAGCAACAAAGTTCTTTCACATTTTATGATTTAACAACGCATAAACACATAATTCAAATCAACCTTAAGAACCATTGCATAGGAGCTGCTTTTATTTTACATAAAATTAGAGCTCTGGTGGTGTGGCCCATACTGTGCTGTACTGCTCACCTAAAGACAGTGTCTCTGGCAACCCAAATCCACAATCATTCTGAAGGAGTAAACGGATAATCTCTTCTCATGTGATTGTTATTGTTGTGTGCTGACCAAGAGCTGTCCATCTAGTCAGTGGGTTTTGCTTTGGAAATCCAATGGAAGGTCAGTTATGAGTAGCTTCTGACTCCATGGCAGTAAGAGAGAGGGGGAAAAATCGGGCAAAATGCTCTATCATGTTCCAAGTAGTGCAATAAAAGTCTTTGCTTCAAAGGGAGATGCTATTGTGTAAATTAAAAAAAAAAATTTCCATCCATTAAGACTCTTGGGAATGGAGTTGTGTGTCAGCAGAGTGAATAAAAATTTATTGCTTACTTAGTATATACTACATATTTATGCTGCACTCACATATGAAAAAAATGGGCAATGTGAGAAAAAGGATGTATTTAATTAAGAAAATTAAAATTTATCTAGAAGCTGTGCAGCAATCCCGTAGGCATGTGGTTCAAATATAGCTGATCTGCTCACAAGGATGGACAATCTCCTCTCATGCGACTAACTGCTTCTGACAACCCACCAGAGGGCTAGCTACAGGTCAGTTCCAACTATATGGTACACAACAAGAAGCAGCTTTCCTAATATTTAACATTTTGCCTGTGCTTCATTGACTATGCAAAGTTATTTGACCATGTGGATCACAACAAACTGTGGTTGACTCTTAGAAGAATGGGAATCCCAGAACATTTGATTGTGCCTATGCAAAACCTATACTTGGACCAAAAAATGGTCAGAACAGAGTGAGACACTGCATGATCCAAAATTGGGAAGGGTGTATGCCAGGTTTGTAGTCTCCATACCTTTTCAATTTATATGCAGAACAGATAATCAAGGGTACTGGGCTATATGAGGAGAAATATGGCATCAGGATTGGAGGAAGATTTATCAACAACTTGCATTATGCAGATGACACAACCTGGCTTGCTGAAACTGAGGAGGACCTGAAGTGCTTGCTGCGGAAGATCAAGGACTGCAGCCTTGAATACGGATTGAAGCCCAACACCAAGAAAACAAAGATTCTCACCACTGGGCCAATTGGCAGCATCATGATAAATGGTGAAGAGATTGTTAAGTTTTAGTTTGCTTGGCTCCACAATCAATACTCTTGACACCAGCAGCCAGGAAATCAAAAGATGAATTACACTGGCAAAGTTGGATGTCAGGGATCTCTCCAGAGTATTGAAGTGCAATGATGTCAGTCTGGAGACGAAGGTGCACTTGATTCGGGCTATAGTCTTTGTAATTGCTTGCTATGTGTCAGAGAGATGGACAACAACAAGGGATGATGGAAAGAGAATTGATGCCTTTGAGCTGTGGTGCTGAAGAAGAGTGTTGATACTATGAACTGCTAGGAGAACAGACAGGTTAGTCCTGGAAAAGGTGAAACCAGACAGCTCCTTGGATGCAAGACCTGTGAAGCTTTGTCTGACATACTCTGGACATGTTACATGGAGGGACTGGTCCTTGGAGAAGGGTATCATGCTTGGGAGAGTGGAGGGACAGCACAGGAGAGGAAGTCCCTCGATGAGATGGATTGATTGTCACTGGGGAAATTGGGGTAGGTGTGTTAGAGACAGTAAGATTGGCACAGGATAGAGCAGGGGTTAGGGCTCTTGTACACAGGGTCGCTATGAGTAGCAAGTGACTTGACAGCACATACAACATGGTAAAAAAAAAAAAAAACAATAAAAATTTGATTATGAAGATTTTTATTATTAAAAAAACCCAGGAACTCATGCAGTATTTTAACAGGTGTGTGATGAAGGAATAAATATAAAATACAAGAATATGAAACATCAATTATGAGAAATTTAAGAATAAAGAAAATGTTGGGTGGTGAAGGGAGACTACTTAACTAGGGTGAGGGAGAAATCAACTGAAGTGAAGCTGGAGACGGACAATGAATACTCAGAATTCACTGAGAGGGAATCTAAAACTCAACAATGGACCATTCCTTCCACCTTGTACTTTATTCAGGAGGATCAAATCTTGGGGCTTTGCAGAAGAATAGATTATTTTTCTTTTCTAAATTTGCTTATTTATCAATCTTTCGAATCTTAGGAATTTTCATTAAGAATGGGGCATTCTAATAATTGTTTTCACGAACTATGAAAATGTTAACAAAAATAGTAAGATATAAAAGAAAAAGAATTTTCAAGTTTCACTAATTACATTTACTATTTTAAAGTAAAAACAAACCACAAAAATTTCATTATTAAGATTTTTATTCAATTATAATCTTTAGAGTTTTTTCCTAATAAGATATTAATCTTTTTTAGGTGGAAGGAAACATGAGGTAAAACCTACTTGGCCACATTACTTCTTGAGCTTCTTTTGGGCTGCTTTCTTCTTGACTGTCTGGAATCGCTTCATAGCATTGAGCTGGGATTCTTGTGAAGTTGGACCTTTAAGGGATGCCGAAGAAGAGCTGCTAGACTCTGAAGTGCTTTTACTGGTGGTATTTCCACTGGGCCCTGATGTTCCACTATTCCCATTAGCACTCACTTGCCTACTGCTTCCTGGAACTAAACTACTTGGACTAGGAAGACCCACTTTGCTAACATTGTCACACCTAACTGAGCGACTAAGGCCTGTTTTACCTAAGGTTAGAGGTGGAAGTGGTTTCAAAGGTACAGTAGGTGTGGAGCTGTTACTGGAAGCTATTTTGGAAGCTATTCCACTTTTGGATGACGTTGCCAGACCAGTCAAACCCACAGGCTTCTGGTTAGTTGATGAGGTAGTAGGTTTCCCACTATTGTTTTGTGTTGTTGAACTCAATTTCGCTGTTGATGGACCAGCAGAGGAGATCTTGGCTGCAAAAGCTGCCCATCCAGTTAGGCCACTAGTTACTGAAGAGGAAACACCGGTATTAGAAGAATTCCCTGAAATAACTGTGGATGCCTTAAAAAAAGAAAAAAGAGAAATATATTTCAGTAGAGCCAACATAATCAATACCTACACAAAGCTTTTACATACATATTAATCTTGAGGTGATTTGGACCATGGTCTTTTCAACCACTAGCTATGCATCTTACAGCTGGACAATGAATAATGACAGAAGAAGTGATGCCTTTGAGCCATGGTGTTGAAGAGAGTGCTGAATATCCAAAGGACAGCTAAAAGAAAAAAACAGATATGTCTTGCAGAAAGTCCAGCCAGACTGCTCCTTGGAGGCAAAGAAGACAAAGCTTCATGTCACATACTTTGGGCATGTTTCTAGGAGAGGCAAGATGGAGGGTCAGAGAAGGAGAGGAAGACCCTTAAACCAGATGACTGACACAGTGACTCCTCCACACGGCTCACGGATGTCAGAAATGATGAGGATAGCATAGGACAGGAGAGGGATCAGATCTATTGTTCATAGTCCCTGTGAGTTGTATTCGATTGGACAGGACCTAACAACAACAATAATCTTTATCTTTTTATACCACATAATAATTTAAAAATTTGTATCATACTACCAAAATTATGTATGTTCCTATGAAACTGATGGAAAGGAAAAACTATGTCTTTGTGTGTATTAAACAAAAGTGATCCATAATAAGTGAAGAGGGCCATTTCCAAAGCAGAAATTTTGGATGCCATACTCTTGTTCAGAAAATTTCAAAAGAGAAATATATGACATTCATATTTAGGAACTGCTTTTGGATTCCATTATGGAGCATATTAGAAAGTCAGATTTAATTTGCTGTAGCTTGTTTTTAATCTAAAAAAGTATTATTTGGTTCAGTTAGATATCTGATTCTTTAAACACTGCTGTTAAGGACTAATAGATCATTCTAAAAAATTGAATTCAGTCTTAGTAGACAAAAATGTTTACACCCAGGATTTGCAAGAGGAAACACCACAGATGAAATGTTTTTCCATAATTATTTTTTCATGATGTGTATGAGAAAGAAAACAGCTGTATACAAATTCTAAACCAAATATTTTTTTAAAGCGTTCTAAATTTTGAACAGCGATAGCACTGCAAAATATAAAACCATGGACAAATCAAATACTGATGTATGTAAAAAAAAAATTCTGAGATTTTTATTTTCACACTTGTTCATGTTTCCATGGAAACTATGACGAGATATCCTTGTTTCTATATATAGGATTTTACCTGCTGCTTCACAGAATGCACAGTGTCAATTTAGGTGGGTTAATTCCCAGTTTAGAAATGATTAACACTTCACTGTCCCAGTTAACTGCATTGGCTAATCAGGAGCTCAAGTTACCAATACCATAATACAAATTGGTGTTAATCACATCAGAATTTTCTATGAAAATGACAGTTTCCTAATACATACAAAATACCCAAAAATACCCTTTGTTTAAAAGAATTAAGAATGTATTTTCTCTTTGATATTCTTTCTACTTTGGTATTTTTAAGAAGATTCACAGAAGGGGTGTAGTCATCTATAGGTAAACAATAGCTTGACAATTTCAAAAAAAGGTTGTCATCACACTTAAGATGTATTTACTCACGTATGAGAACTAAACTCTGAAAAAGTTGATAAAATCTTTCTAATTCCACTAAGCTTCCAATACTGTTTGCATGAAAACATGTTTAAATAATGTAAAAAGAAAACGGAATTTGAGTGTTCTGAGAGCTTTATTTTATAAGAGGAGCAAACTAGCAGTATAGATATTTGTTCACTTTTTAGGACTTTTTTTACAAGTACCATCATTCGACAACTACACCCCATAAACTTATCCAGAGGAGCAAGCATTTGACATAAAACATAAATTCCTAGAAGAACACAGAAAGGTACCAAGAGAAAAAGTCAAGAAAGTTGGAGGACACAGGTGCAGTAAACTTTTAATTTTCAGTTATGAAAGAGCAAATTTTTTTTCTTTTCTATCAAACATAAAACTCTACCATATGGCTAAATGATCTCTCAACAAACTTCATGAACAAAAACCAATCTGAAGTAATTAAAAAGACCAACATTTAAGAAGTACGAACAAGAAAGCAAGTTTGGCATTTTGCTTTAATGGTTTATTTTTGTCTGGCATTGCTTTTCAATAGGACGACAGATGGTTTATAACACTATCAAGACACATAAAAGGGAAATAGCACAAACAATGGAGACCGAGTCCTTTCTTACTATTTCAGTGAAAAAATGTACTTCTCAACTATAAATAAATTCTTAACTATTACCCCAGCTAGAAAATTATTCACGTCTTATATATGAATGGGAACAAAATTTTTCCCAGTAAAAGTATATTTCCTATAAGCAACCACCACCAGCAGCAGCAGCAAACCTTCTATCAAAACAAAAGAAATAAAGGTTTTAAATTATTTGTCATAAAGTGATTTTAAATTGGATTTTCTGAAAATACACTTTAATAGTAACTAGTAGCAAAATTTACCTAAAAGTGATTAGATGTAGAATGAAAAACTTTGATTACTATCAAAGAATTCCGTCTAATGGAATCCCTTCAATATCAAGCCATCACTTGTTGTTGTGCATCACTCAGTCAGAACTAACCCATAGCTGATCCTCTGTCAGGTTTTCAGAGACAATACTTTGCACAGGAGGAGACTGTCCATCTTTCTCTTGTGGAGCAGTTAGTGGACTTGAACCACATACCATTATACTGGCAGCACAATTCCTTACCACTAAGCCACCAGAGTTCCCTGTTAAAAGTATAAGAATCATTAAATTTTAAAAGTATCCACAACTAAAATGATCACAGCTATTCTCAGAGTATTTTATATTCATATTCTTTATCATTGTACCTGGTTCTTGAGCAAGGTGTGTTGAGCATTTTTTGGGGGGGGGGGCGGTTATAGAATTTAAGGAGCTCTGGTGATGTAGTGTGTAACCTGCTGAACTGCTAACCAAATGGTCAGTAGTTGGAATCCACCAACTGCTCTGAAGAAGAAGGACAGGCAGTCTCCTCCAATGAATTACAGCCTCAGAAACATGATACTATGAGTCAGCAACATGATAGCAGTGGGTATAAAAATTTGGGGAATTTTTTAATTTCACCTATAACTCTTTGCTTAAAATTGTAATGTATAAACTCAGCAGAAGTATCCCATTTGATAAAAAAAGATTAGAAAAAGATTCTATTTCATGATATCAACACATTGGTATATTAATAATAATGTAGTATGATTTAAAGGATGTAAACCAAGGAATAAAAGAGCTAATATTCTTATTAGATAATATGGTGTCTTGGTATAAAGAGGTAAGCATGTGTAAAGCATGATAAGAAAGGAATAAGTACGACAAAACAAGGCAACATGTTTAGTACTTAGCAAGCTGGGAAAAAACCTTACAAGGCCAGTGAGCATTAGTAGTATGAGGAACAAGAATGTTCAAGAAGAATTCAGAATTTAAACCGAATTCTTAATTAGAGATATAAGGTCCCTATGTGGTGCAAACAACTTGTATTTCAAAGACTGTAATTCTGAGAGATTGTAGTTCAAAGGAAAGGGGAAAGATCTGCTGTGAAAAACAATGTACATGAACTTTATAAGTATAAAATAAAAAAAATTTTTTTTAAAAGAGGGAAAAAATTATTTAAAAAATCCAACAGGTCTGCTTCTGAAAGCTCACAGCCCTGAAAACTCTATGAAGCAAGTCTACCTTGTGCACGCAGAGTTGCTATACCACAGAATCAACTTGATAGCAACTACCAACTAATCTAAAGGTTAGAAGTTTGGACCTACCCAGTGATACTAAGGAGGAAAAATCTAGCAATCTACTCTTGTTAAGATTACAGCAGAGAAGATCCTATGTGGTAGTTCTACACAGTAACACTTAGGGTTGCTATGAGTCAGGATGGACTAGAAAGCAGTAGGCTTGACACAAGAATGATAAAAGAAAGAACGAATGATATTAGAATGCTGTCTCAGAACTCAGAGACTGTTCCTTTTCTTGATAAAAAGAGATACAGGAAGTTAGAGATCAAAAAATCCTGTAAAAGGTTCTCCTTCTATGTCATGATAATGGAAAGGCAGTCTTAACTTCCAGCATAAAGTCATTTAGTATAGAAAACACCTGATTACATTTTTTAATCAAGAAATTTTAGCAAAAATAGTTAAGATGCAAATGTAGGTACAGATAGGAGGTACTATACCTTGACTTCTGACCTCTTGAATGCCAGAAATGTGGTCTCTTGTTTTAGTTTCGTTTCTGGTTTCTTAACCAATGGATCTTTGGCAGCTGGAACGACAGAAACTGTGGGGGCTGGTTTCTGTGCTGGCTTCTGAGTTTTTTGAGCCTAAAGAAATCAGTGTCATACATTAGATATAGTTCCTAACTGAATGCACTAGAAACTAAAAATTGTGGATGGGACATTTAAATTGAGTTGAACACAAAAAATATTGTAATGAAACCCAAAGTAGATTCCTGAATAAATTATTTTCATCATCATTGTATTAATGGTTTTATCAATTTCACTAATTTCTAAATGCAAAGATGTTAAGCTTTTAGGGCTGGATAAACAGAAATTAACGTTAACATGATAAAATTATTTCAAAACCAAACAAATCACACAGTACAGACAGGATTTAATCTGTTCATAGGATTGCATGAGTCATATCAGACTTGACAGTACCGAAAATAACATACATACATACATATATATATGTATGTGTGTATATATATGTATATATATGTGTGTATATATATATGAGTGTGTGTGTGTGTGTGTGTGTGTGTGTGTGTGTGTGTGTGTGTGTGTAATCAATTTGTTTTCTTCATCTTAGATTGATTGGTCAAAGAATTCAGAGCTCTCACCTTGTGCTCCAGGTATAAATACAACTGAAGGTAAGTTAAAAGGTAGTTTAGCAAAGGCCATAAGGTCAGTGGAAACTCACCAGGCCCTTCAGGGGGAAAGGCAAGTAAGCTTCCACAAAGTTATGGCCTGGGACACCCCAAAGGGTGGATACTATGAGTCAGGATTGACTCAACGACAATGGATTATATACAAAATGGGGAGAAACAGGCAAACTGGAATAAAACAAGCATGATAAACGTTGGACTATTTTTTATTTTTTAGGTTTTCCAAAGTGCAGAACTAGGCACATTGAGAACTAGATAAACTAAATACTACTCAGATAAAGTTTATAAACACACATCTCAATGTCATCAAAGAAGAGCTCGACTGAATTCATGATTCTTTTACAAACATTTCTTTCAGCCAACAACTGACTTTTTTTGTCTCATGTTTCTTACTACCAGGGAGCTTTGGTAGCCTAGCTGACAGGGTGCTGTGCTGCTAACTCCAAGGCAGAGCCTCTCTGGCAGTTAGCTCGAATTCATCAGCTGCTCCACAGAGAAAAGGCACGCAGTCTTCTACTAGTGGTTTACAGCACCTGGAAACCCAACTGAAGATCGGTTATGAATCAGTTCTGACTTGACAGCAAGAAGTTCAAGGTATCTTCCAAGTATATAGTAGTTGTTGTTTGCTGTCAAGTCAGAACCACAGCTGAACCTCCAGCTGGTTTTATAGTATCTTAAGTGTTCAAATTTTTGTTTTAGAAAAATTTCGTATTTTACAAAATATGTCAACAAAAAAGCTAAACACATTTTGAAGTAGAAAAAGATTATGATTCCTACCATTCTTTTCATTTGTCTGGTACACCGTGCACAACACCACACCAGGCGAGGGTCCTTCACTTCCTTATCTGTCACTTGGGGTTTGTGGCAATCCTGGTGGTAGAGATTATGGCACTCTTGACATTCTACTAGTTGATTACCAGATGCCACTGTCATTTGCCTAAGAAATATATATTAGTAAACTTACTTTTTTGAATATAACAATTTGAAACTCTACATTGGTTGATTTAGTTTTAAAGATGGAAAAGAAATCTCTAAAATAAAGCCCCAGAAAAATCAAAGACCAAAATATCAAATCCCTACATGCAGTCTGAACAAGCACTTTATATCTTTTAAAGTCCATTCTCAACCATCAGTAAATATGTAGGTTATCTTAATAAAATTTGGCTACATTACCTTCATAATTTCATTTGGCATTTTAATTTTTTAAAAATTTTTTTCCAGAAAAGTAGTAGATTTTGACTAGCTCTCCAATAGATCCATAGCCTTTGCCTTTCATCTCTATTAAATTTGTTTATGATAATTACCTACCTATGTGCTTCTCCTATCTTCTTCATTAAAGTATAAATTAACTAAGGGTTAGAACTAGATCTAATTACACACACTGCCAAGTCCATTACTGTGCTAACAGATAATGATCAATAAATGTTTGATCACTGAACATAAGCAGTCATTACGTATATCAAAGGTAGGGATTCCTCTATCAAGTAATTATCACAGCTGTAGGTAACTAAGTTTTTCTGATGCAGAGTTACAGTCACCAGTTTTATATCATTATTTTACTACTTATTATTTATAAAGTTATATCCTTAATATTAGATAAAGGCTGAAATCAATGACACTCTCGCATATGACTTCATCCAGAAAGCAGTGTAACTCAAAATCTATAAGGTCCATAAAAGCTTATAGTTATTTACTCAGTCTTAAGATTCTAGAATTAACATTATTATGAAGAAAACAGACTAAAGATGGTAAATTTTTTGGGTTGTGTTGAGCATAAAAATCATTAATAAAAACTTAATCTTTGGTTTCCAGAAGATTAAAATCTAGTTATATCTGATTTTTGAAACACATCTTTAAAAAATAGACTTATAAGTACTATTTAATTAGCATCCATGTTTCTACCAACACTCAGAATAACCTACATGACCCATAATCCATTTATTCCATTATTCTTGGGAAAAAATGTCATGGTGTTTCAGGCAATGACAGTGTTAACAACAAATCAGGAAATAAAAAAAACACAGATTTCTAAAAAAGAAAGAAGATAATAATGGTAGTGTACTGAATAGATTCTTTCTTACTAAGTAAAGCAATAATAATTTCCTCTGCAGAACTCAAGAATTCATAAAGTGTTACTGCAACAGCTCTGGTGGCTTAGTGACAAGGAGATATTCTGCCAACCCAAAGACCCATGGTTCAAATCCACCAGCTGCTCTGTAGAAGAAAAAAAAGCAACTTGCTCCCATGTGATTTAATTTATTACCTCTGAAAACCCACGGAGAGTCAGCTATCAATTGGTTCCGACTTTATTATATAACAACAGCTTAAAGAAATCATAGAAAGAAGAAAAAAAAAACCCCAAAAAACCTTGACATTTAAAAACATTTAGCTACTATAGGGAAAAGTCACAAGGTATAATCTACCTAGCTTCTCAATACTGGCCATATGTTCATTAACAGTCTGATTAAAGAGTTAGGTTGATACATTTTTTATTTCTCAAGTTTATGTTGCTTTGTTTGCTCTGTAAAAAGAAAATAATTATGGCAAGGTACAACTTACCTGCATACAACACAGGCCAATCCCATCTCCATGGCAAAATCATCAGCACTAGTCTCCTCAAAGCTAGAAAGGTCAGCCATAGCTAAATCTTTGCTCGTTTGGACAGTAATAGGAGAAGAATGCGTTTCTGGTTTCTGCAGTCTTGGTTTTTTTGGTGCATCAACTCCTTCATTTATGTCAGATTTTATCTATAAAAAGTACCAACCAGAAAATAATCATGACATTACATTGCAAAATAAAATTTATGTCACTGAGAGATGGATAAAATGATCAGAGTGAAGTATCAATTTTAGAGGTATTTTCACAAAAAAGGACATATAGGCACATTAAAGATCTGGAGGTGGTTTATAAATAATTGATAATTGGTAAAAGAAACACATAATGTGGAAATAAATAAAGCAGAGTAGCATGCATCTGTTTTTCTCTTTGTACTCTTACCCCTTAAAAAATTCTGGGAGTTCAATGACTTTACTTATCCTTGCCTTCTGCCTTTTAGTTTTCCTGTTGTAGTTGTTGTTAAGTGCCAACATGCTGTAGGCAACTCACAGCGACCCTATGAACGAAAGACCTGGACACTTGTGTAACTTTCATCCTTTCTCCAGGTTCATAGTGTTTCCAGAGGCAAGCTATTTTGGAAGTGGATGCCACTCCTGTTTCCAAGCTTGCTTCAGCCGGGAAGCACCACCAAACGCTGTCTACCATGGGTAACTGTTACCACATTTGACACATCAGTGTCACAGTGTTTAGCTTCACAGAGTTACCTCTGTACAGCAAGTGGATACACAGGGCTATACAACACAAGTTTTAAAATAGAAAATCACAGTACTAATAAAGCCTTTAAAAAATTAGAAAATAGTTTTAGTTGTTAACTACTAATATTTGAAATAGAGTAGTAGGGGTCCAAATGGTAACATGCTTGGCAATAACTAAAAGGTTAGAGAGGTGTTAAGTCCATCCAGAGGTGTCTCAGAAGAAAGCCCTCGTGATTTACTATTTAAAACCAGTCACTAAAAACCCTCCAGGACACAGTTCTACACCGATCACACTGAGCTGTTATGAATCAGAATCAACTCAATGGCAATTGATGGCACTATCTAAAATATATTGTAAAGAGGTAAATAATGAGTGATCAGTCATCTAGACTTTTAACACACTGCCATACTTACGTCAGTACTCTGGCTCAAGGAAATGTGGACATCTGTCAGACTGGCAAATGCTCAGATGCACAGAATTTAGAAACTTTTTGTGCAAGATTTGAGTGAAAGTTTACTAAGCAAAATAATTTTTCATATATCCATGTGTATTTTGTTCTATAATGTGAGTTTTAATACCTAAAATATAATTTCATTTTCTCCACTTTGTCCCTGCAATTTTTATTTCCATTAATCTTTCAATGTTTCCTTGTATCTTCACTTTCTTTAATTATATTGTGCTGGCCTTCCATTACACGGAATATAGAATTCTTACAATGAGTTGGGGAGGACATAAATTTAGTAAATATCCTTTAGATAGTGCCTGGCAATAAATAATATAAATTTCAGATCTGTATAGCCTTAATAATATGCATAGGTATATGACCTAGAGAAAATATTAAAAAAGATATGTGTGTAAAAAGATATGAGTAAAGTAGTTCATTGAAACTATAGAGTAAATAGAGAAATCATTTAATTGCTCATTAATAGAAAAACAGATAAACTGATTTACTTATAGAATGAATATTAAATATAGGGGGAAAATCTAGATCCACATGTACCAATATAGATAAATATTAAAGCACAACGTTCTGTAGAGAAAAGGAAAGTTTCCAGAGGATAAATACAGAATGGCACAATTAATATAAACACATAAAAAACAATATAATATAGTTTATGAAAACATTAAAAATAATAAAGATATGAAAACATTTTTGAAAGCAGGAGTGACTAAAGGATTTAGAAGAGTTAATTCATTTTTTAACTAAAATTTTAATTACCAACTATGTAGAGAAACCATCAATATTTGAGAAATATCTACTCATTCCATTCCTGTAAATGCCATTCTTCAACAAATTTCAGGTGTAGTTATTTACATTTCTACTCTCTTCTTCTCAACAATGTTCCAGTTAGAATATTTCAGTTATTAAATTATACTTAAACTACTACAACCCATAGGGCCCAATATCTGACAATGATTTAGATCAATGGGAAAAAAAAAAATATGCTCCTTAAAAGACTGAATTCAAAGATATCAATTCTTCTTCAGTCTTTTAAGAAATATATTGTATTACGTGAACTGTCAAAACAACAAATAAATCTGTCTTGGGAAAAAATGCAACCAGGGTGCTCCATAAAGGTAAAGATGCTGAGATTTTTTTGTCTAATGTACTTTGGGCATGTTATTAGGAGCACATGGAAAATGTGATCATGGATGCAAAAGAGAGGAAGATCCTTGAAGAGAAGTAGTAACACAGTGACTACAACAATAGGCTTAAACATAGTGGAAAGACAGTGAGAGGACAGTGCAGGATGGTAAAGGTTTCAATATGTTGAACACAGATTCACTCTGAGAGCGGACTTGAAAACACCTAACAAAAACAACAACAATAAATTTTACTCATTTTTCAAAAAAGTAAAAATCGACAGCACTCAAAATAAATGTACTGAGTGATTACCACACTCACTAACATATCCAAAAAAAAGGAAGCACAAAGCATTGCTTATACTCATCAATCAAATTACTTTACCAGTTATTTTGATTAGATTAAGAGAAAACGCTTACTTTATCAGCAGGTCTCTTTTCAGCTTCTTTCTTTACTTTTTCTGTTGTGAGGACCTTGCCATTATTATTATTACCAGAAGGAAGACTAGAAGAAGTTTTGGGCTCTTGCTTAATGGAAATAGTTTTTGTGCTTGAAATTTTGGGTGGCTCAATATCCTAAAAAGTAAAATAAAAATTAGATATTGAGATTATGTAATGCATCACAAAAAAGGTCATAAATAGGTAAATAACTTCCAGTTAAAAATGTAGATATCATATTACTACCAATGTAACAGGGAGCTCTGGTGGTCTAGTGGCAAGAAATTGAGCTGCAATCCTGAAGGCATGAGGTTGAAATCCAGGCTCCATGGGAGGAGGATGGGCAATCTTCTCCTGTGCAATTAACTGCCTCTGAAAACCGACCGAAGGGTCAGCAATGGGTCAGTTCCAACTCAATGGCACACAACAACCACTATCATGTTTTTTCTTTAAATGCAACGTCATGTTTTTCACTTCAAAGAGTTTCTTTGAAGTTTAAAAAATACATAAGCTACTGGACCAATTGGCAACATCAGGATTGAGATTGTCAACAACTTTAGTCGGCTTGGCTCCATGGTCAACACTCTTGGCACCAGTAGCCAGGATATCAAAAAACGTATTGCGATGGGAAAGTCAGCTGTTAGGAACCTCTTCAGGGTACTGAAGAGCAATGGTGTCATTCTGGAGACTGAGGTGCATCTGATACAGGCCATGGTCTTTGCTATCACTTGTTACGCATCAGAGAGTTGGACAGTGACTAAGGAGGATAGGAGAACTGATGCCTTTGAGCTGTGGTGCTGGAGAAGAGTACTGAGGGTACCACGGACTGCTAGGAAAACAGATTCATCCTGGAAAGGGTTAACCGGGGTGGTTCCTTGGAGGCAAGGATTCTGAGGCTTCATCTGACATACTTTGGACATGTTGTAAGGAGGGACTGGTCCTTGGAGAAGGACATCATGCTTGGTAGGGTGGAAGGAAAGTGCAGGAGTGGAAGGCCCTCTATGAGGTGGATTGATTCAGAGACTGGGGTGATTGGGATGGGTGCACCAGAGACAGAGTAATTGGCACAGGACAGAGCAGAGTTTAGGGCTGTTGTACATAGGGTCACTATGAGTCGCAAGCAATTTGACAGCACATAACACCACCACCACAACCAATTTAAAGTATACAATTAGGTAAACCTTGACATGTGTATATAATTGTTAAGAGTTCTGGTACTACTGAGGCTACGGCATTTGGCTGCTAAGCGGAAGATGAGCAGTTCAAATGTACTAGTTGTTCCATGGGAGAAAGATGAGGCAGGCAGATAATGAAAGGCAATGATGATTACAACTTTAGACAATCTTATGAGGAGGTTCATCTGTGTCCTTCGGCGTTGCTATGAGTCAGAATCAACCTGATGGCAGAGTTTATTTGGTTATTCACTTGTTAAACTGTCACTATAATCAAGATCACAAGCATATTCATCAACCCTCAAGGTTCTTGCGGCTCTCTGCAATTACTTATAGGTGTAATATATGTTAGAAGAACAACTCCCTCACCCTCTAGTAACTAATGATCTGCTTTCTTGGCTTAGCCTGCATTTTCTAAGCATTAATATAAATAAAGTCATATAGTATTTACTCTTTTTTTGTGTGTTTGGCTTCTTTTACTCTACCTAGTTTGTTTTCAGTTTTAGCCACGTTGTTGGGTATACTAAAAGTTCATTTCTCTTTTGCACAGAGTATTGCAATAAATATGTTGTTGTTATGTGCCGTTGAGTCGTTGTGACTCATAGTGTCCCTATGTCAATAGTCCTAAACCTTTGCCAGTATTATTGTCTCCGACACACCTATCGCTATTACCTCAGTGACAGAATCAATCCATCTCATCGAGGGTCTTCCTTTCCTGAGCTGTCCCTCCACCCTGCCAAGCATGACATCCCTCTCCAAGGACTGATCTGGCCTTGCAACATGTCCAAAGTATGTCAGATGGAGCTTCAGAATCCTTGCTTCCAAGGAGAAGCCTGACTTCACCCTCTCCAGGGTGAACTTGTTTGTTCTAGCAGTCTATGGTATATTCAAAACTTTTCCAGCACCAAAGCTCATAGGCATCAATTCTCCTTCTATCATCCCTAGTCATTGTCTAGCTCTCTGATGTATAGCAAGTAATTGCAAAGACCATGGCATGTACCAGGCACACCTTAGTCTCCAGACTGACATCATTGCTCCTCAGTATCTTGGAGAGGTCTCTGACAGCAGATTTTCTCAATGCAATTTGTCTTTTAATTTCCTGGCTGCTCGTACCAAGGCGTTGACTGTAGAGCCAAGCAAACTGAAGCTGTCAATGATCTCAATCTCTTCATCATCCATCATGATGCTGCCAATTGGCCCAGTGATGAGAATCTTTGTTTATCTAGTCACTGTTGGACAGTTATGTTTTTTGCAGTTTACTGCAAATACTAATAAAGCAGTCATGAACACTTGTATATTCATATATACTTTGTATCTCTGTATCTTTATATATACTTTGTATCTTTATATAGATATATTCTTCCATTTTTCTTGAATAAATATTTAGACATAGAATGCTTTGATCATATAGAAAATGCTTGTCTTTTTAACAAATTATACAATGGCTGTGTCATTTTACATTTCCTTCAGGAAAATGAGAGATGATCAGCTTCTTCATATTCTCATAAACTCTTAGTACTGTCCATATTTTTAATTTTAGATATTTTTAATAGTTTTTCCTGAGGGAAAAAAATCCAGTTATGTCTTGGAGAAAGTGCCACCAGAGTGTCCTTTAGAGGCAGATAGTGAAGCTTCATTTTACATATTTTGAACACGTTGTTAGGAAAGGTATTCCTTAGAAAGGAACATCATGGTAGAAGATGGATGAGGGAGGAGGAACCCTTCAATGAGATGTACTGATACAGTGTCTAATGCAATAGACTCAAATGTGTTCAGGATGCTAAGGTTGATGCAAAAATGGGTCAGAGTTCAGATGTGCTGTTCACAGGTCTGCTAGGAACCATACTTAGCAGCACTTAACAACAACAGTTTCACAGGATTCTCTGGGTGATACAAATGGTTAATAGTCTCAGCTATTAAGTAACTGGCAGTTTGAATCCAGCCAGATGCACCTTGGAAGAAAGTCATGGCAAACTACTACTGAAAATAAAACCACTATCAAAACCAAACAGTCATTGAAAGCTCTTGGGAGCACACAGTTCTACTTTGACATAGAGTCATTATGAGTCAAAACTGCTTCTAGGCAACTAATTTTATTTTTTTAATGACATTTTTCAAGTAATTTGCTGTATATCTATCTATCTATCTATCTATCTATATCTTACATGAAATGCCTGTGAATCTTTTTCCCCATTTTTTAAAAAAAATGAGGCTGAATATTTTAAGTGCAAGAATTCTTTATAGATTCTGTATAAAAGTTCTGTATAAGATACAAAACTTGCAACTATTCTTCCTAATTTTTCTTCCTAAGTTGTCATTTCATTCTGTTCTATTTTTAAATACTATAGTTTTGATTACATAAACTTGTCATCTTTTTTTAACAGTATCAACAGTTTATGTATAAGGTGGATCTTTGGAATAATTTTCCCAAAAAAAGAGTATTCTTCCACTATTCTAAGTAAAACAAGAATAGCAAAGTGTAGTCCAGTTTTTTCCCTTGTGATCATACATAAACCAAAGAGACATTTCCAACTCATGACAAACCCTGGTGTTACAGAACAGAATTAATCCATATGGTTTTGTGGGCTGTAACTTTTACAGAAGGAGACTGCCAGGCCTTTCTTCCTACACATCAATGAGTGGTTCCACTGAGTGTACAAAATAACATGGGAATGATACACATAATCTTCAGAAAAGTAGTTAACTTTGAGGCAGAAGAGAAGGCAAATGGATGATAAATAAGCTATGAGCCTATCTGTATCAACAGTTCATTTGTATTGAGTGTTTTAGACAAATTGTTGCTGTTGAGTTGATTCCGATACAGAGCAGAACAGAACTTCTTCCACAGGGTCACTATGATTGTAAATCTTTCTGGAAACAGATTGCCACATGGTTCTCCTGTACAGTGGCTGGTGGGCTCGAACTGCGGACTTTATGGTTGGCAGTTGAATGCTTAATCACTATTCCATAAAGGCTCTCATGATACCATGCAAGAATGAAATAGTTGCAACAGAGACCAACTGGCCCACAAAATTGAAATACTATCTGGTTCTTGATGGAACATATGCTTGACCATTAGTGGTACCTTAAGAAAATGTCAGAGAAAATGTTGATATAGCTTATTTTACCCCTAAATCTCAAAGAGAGTTACCATAAATAAATTATAGATAAGTTAAGCAGCTCTTTAACAAAAAATTAGATCACAAAGAACTGGAAAATAAAATAAGTCTTAATTATGTATGTTCCTATACACATTCACTAGTTTGTTGTCATATGCCATCAAGTTAGAACTGACGAATGGCTGACCCTTCAGAGGGTTTTCAAAGGCAGTAAATCACACAGGAGGAGACTGCTTATCTTCTTCTGCAGACCATCTGGTGGATTCAAACTGTGTGCCTCTCAGTTGACAAAGCAGCTCTTTACCACCAGTCTAATAGATTAGTCAACCATCAACTATTAGGGCAGACTGTTTATTACCCTTCCCCCAGCTAACTTTCTAAGTAGTATGAGACTTCCATGAAAACAAATGAAAGACTCTAACGTCTTCATGCCACAAGGAAAGTGTGTATCAGCAAAGAGATTGTGTTGAAATGGTGTAAAATTTACCACTACAAACATTCACAAAACTCCTTTAAGCTTTCTCTTCATGTAGGTACCTTTGGAGATGGACGGTAACTGCAATCAATGCCCCGAGCCAAAGAGTCGTCAAGTAGAGCTTTCAGTTTTTCAGCAGAATCCTTACTCTTCGAATGTAAGAAGCCAAGAGCTTGCAAAAAAATGGGATCAAGTTCCAAATTCATGGTAGCAGCCATTGCGAACACCTGCAGGGTGTAGAACAAAGAGGCGATTTAAACACAATGCTCAATTATCTGTCTAAGCTACACTGAGTTTTTAAACATTTATAATAGCCAAGATCACATGCCCAGCCCTACACTGAAAAGATACAAAAAGTTATTACAGATAATAGTATATTTCCTCCTTATTCCTGTCTGATACTCTGCAGTTCTTTCCCACTCCCTGGAACAACAACTGTTTGGATCAAATTTACTGTAAATGTTTATGAAAATTAATAAAATATAATTATAGAAAAAATAATAATAAAAAGGAAAAAAATTTACTATTTAAAAATGTCTTCTCTCGATTATTCTTTTCATAACAGAAGCAAGCATTTATTGTATGAGTGTGAGAGGGAGGGATGGAAAGGCAGTAGTTACAGGATGCATTCAGTGCATTGCATTTTGAGCTACAGACCACTGCTGCAGCACTTAACGAAACATATGTTTTAAACTTCTCCCCACCTCCCCTCCTCACTAGTACTTGAATCTGATTTTAAACGTCTCAGAAAACATACTAACGGCAGTCTTATTTGATCATATTTAGAGTGTGGTATCGCATGCATTAACTGGTTTTAAAAAACTAGGCCTCTGAGGGATGGTGCCTCATCTATTAAAAAGTTTATATATCTCATTGGGCCTATGACAATGTTTTTTGTCCCAAGGAGCTTAAAAAATAGTTGAGACAGATGAAGATATACATCAAAGGCTTATGAAATTCTGAAATAATTAAAAAGTTTTGTTTTTAATTAATACCAATGCTATCATAAGGTTCTACTTCTGGTTGTCACTTTTCCAAACGCCTCTCCAGGCAAGGAATTATTAAAATAAGAATGTATTCTTTGTGTTCAATCCTTTGATCAATATACCAGGATTTGAAATCCATCTTCTATCCTCGAGGTTATTATTATAATAATGCAACACACTTGCTCTGTTACAGTTGAGATCTGTTCAGCAATTCCACTGTAATCTCCCATTTTCAGGGGTTTATAAAGCCATTAAAACTTTTTATAGGTTGGATCTTGGTATGTGAAAGCTCAACTTGAAAATAGATTTGTTTGCTCCTTTCTCTACTAATCTATTGACAAGCTTGACAGGAAACGAAACACAACACAATACAACACAACACACACTGCCCTCTCTCTCTCTCTCTCTCTGTCCTCCCTCCCTTTTAAGTTTCAGGGAGGGTATTAGATATACGATTGACTCAAATCAATCAAGTTCTATGAAATACTTACTGAAGCATTATTTGAATAACCCATGAAAAGGAGTTAAAAGGCTAGTATTAGGGGTGAAAAATCTCCTTAAACAGTTGTATTAGTAAAGGTTTTAAAAAAATCTGAACAGCAACCTGTCATTTTAAAAGATTGTTGTTGTTACGTGCCACCGATTTGCTTACTATTCATAGCGACCCTATGTACAAGATTACTGGGTACGTCATGTATGTATATGATAGAATTCATTGGCATTAGAGTCAACTCGGAGCTGACCCTCCAATGGTTTTTTCCAGAGGCTATAAATGATAACAGAGAGAGAGCTATGTTGACCTAACGGACAGAAAGTTATGCTACCAAGCCCAAGGTGGGTGATTTTAATTTGCAACCTTCAGGCCTGGTTTAAATTGTTTTTTTGTTGAACGTTCTTCTGCGTGGGATAGCACTGGTCTGTGCATTGCTGTACAGAGGTAATTTGTGGTTGCTGTGATGCTAAACACTGTGACATTGATGTGTCAAATGTGATAATGGTTACCTGTGGTAGACAGTGTTTGGTGGAGCTCCACCATTAAAACAAGCCTGGAAGCAGGAGTGGCATCCACTTCTAAAATGGCCTGCCTCCATAAACTCTGTGAACAGTGCTCAGGCCTTTCATTCATAGGGTCGCTATGAGTCGTCTACAACTCGAATACACTTAACAACAACAACATAAATCATATAGGAGGAGAATGTCCATCTTTTCCCTCAGAGACACTGGTAGAAACACCAGAGAGGCACAGCTTTGGGTTTGCAGCACAATCCCCTATGGTCTACATTTACCTATAAACATGATGTTATTGCTGTTTGTGCAATCAAGTTGGAACTGACTCACAGCTGATCCTCCACAGGCTCTAACTGACATGGGAAGAGAGTGCCAGTATGTCTCCTAAGAAGAAGCTGGTGGATTTGAACCAATGGCTTTAAGTAGCAGCACAACTCCTTATCCAGTAGGCCACTAGAGTTCCCTAATACAAAGACAGATGCAGAAAAGTGATAGCTGACCAACATGCATGTTCTGAGAAGAAAACAGCTCCTCAATAAAATGTCCATCATTAAGAGGAAAGGTAAGGCCGCCAAGCTCCAGATCCTTTACAGATGTAACTTATACTAAGGGGGATAGCAGTTCACTTAATCAGATGAATTATTTTATGAAATGTTGTTGTTGTTATGTGCGTCGAGTCGCCTGCGACTCATAGCGACCCTTTGTACAACAGCCCTAAACTCCGCTCTGTCCTGTGCCAATTGCACTGTCTCTGACACTTCCATCCCAATTATCCCAGTCACTGAATCAATCTACCTCATAGAGGCCCTTCCTCTCCTGCGCTGTCCCTCCAACCTCCCAAGCATGATGTCCCTCTCTAAGGACCGGTCTCTCCTCACAACATGTCCAAAGTAAGTTAGACGGAGCCTCAGAATCCTTGCCTCCAAGGACCCACCTGGTTTAACCCTTTCCAGGACAAATCTGTTTGTTTTCCTAGCAGTCCATGGTATTCTCAATACTCTTCTCCAGCACCACAGCTCAAAGGCATCAATTCTCCTTCTATCCTCCTTGGTCATTGTCCAACTCTCTGATGCATAACAAGTGATTGCAAAAACCATGGCCTGTATCAGATGCACCTTAGTCTCCAGAGAGACACCATTGCTCTTCAGCACTTTGGAGAGGTCCCTAACAGCAGACTTTCCCATGGCAATGCGCCTTTTAATTTCCTGGCTGCTGGTGCCAAGACTGTTGACTACAGAGCCAAGCAAACTAAAGCTGTGTACAATCTCAATCTCTTCACCATCTATCCTGATGCTGCCAATTGGTCCAGAATTGGCAGAGAATCTTTGTCTTCTTGACATTGAGCCTCAATCCATATTGTAGGCTGCAGTCCTTGACACTCTGCAGCAGGCGTTTCAGGTCCTCCTCAGTTTCAGCAAGCAGGGTTGTGTCATCCGCATAACGCAGATTGTTAATAAATCGTCCACCAATCTTGACCCCACATTTCTCCTCATAGAGCCCAGCCTCCCGGATAATCTGTTCTGCATATAGGTTGAAAAGGTATGGAGATAGGATGCATCCCTGGCGTACGCCCTTCCCAATTTTGAACCATGCAGTGTTCCCTTGCTCTGTTCTGACGACTGCCTCCTGGTCCAAGTATAAGTTTCGCTGCCTCCTGGTCCAAGTATAAGTTTCGCATTAGAACAATCAAGTGTTCTGGGATTTCCATTCTTCTCAGAGTCAGCCACAGAAATAGTGACCAAAAAGTAAGTTCCTAAGAGTATTCTTGTTTATAACAGAATAAACATTACTGAAGAATTCTAAGCTAAAAATGAGAAAGCAAAATGTTTAGAATGAGACATTTCTGTAATTATAGAAAAAGTTCAGGTGACTAGATTACAAGTCCACAGAAGTGATATCATTGCTTACTAACACTTCATCTGAAAGCTTGGTGTTAATCTTTCCATACAATCCTGGAATTTAAAAAAGCCCCAAGCTGGCTGTGTGTTCCTGTTGTAAATTCTATCATATCCTCCTTGTTCAATGGTCTCAACATTGTGATATAGGAAGAAAAAAATTAAGAGAACTTCGTTCTCCTGAGAAGCTGCTGGAGACTGAAGAGTTGGCAGCCTGATACATTGTGTACTATGTCACCAGGGCTCCTTTTTAGAACTTGTATTTATATTTTTATTTGAAAAATTATTAAAATACAGAGTGATGAACATATACAGATATGGAAGAGTGCTGTTATTTTTGAAATGGACTAAGTTCTGATAAATGGTTGGTAGCTCCACTCCAACTTATCTAGTCATTTTCAGTTGCCCTTCCTTCCTTGATTCAGTAGTTTTCAGTTTCTCTTTCACTACTATACAAAGAGGCAAGGACGGTGGAACTTTATTCTACCACCTTTGGGCATGCTGTCAGGAGGAACCAGCTCTTGGAAAAAGACAGCATGCTGGGAAAGGCAGAAGGTCAGTGAAGGAGAGTGTTCGGGTTTGCTCCCCAGAAGGAAAGATCATCCAGGTTCATGTTCACAGATTGACTGGAAAACCAGTGTGGAGACAGACTGACAGACAGTTGTAAGCTGTCGTGAAGTACAACACACAGTGACCCAATGAACAACAGGTCTAAACCCTGTCCTGTGCCATCCTCGTCATCCCTAACACATTTGCGCTTACTGCTGTTGTCACTGTGTCAATAGATCTCTTTGAGGATCTTCCTCTTTTGCTGACCCTTCACTTTTCCAAGCATGATGACCCTTTCCAGAGAATAGCCTCTTCTAGCAACAAGCTCAAAGTGTGTAAGACAAAGTTTCGCCATCCTTGCTACAGTGGAGTATGATGGCTTCACTTTTCCCAAGACATATGTTTATTCTTTCGATAGTTCATGGGATATTCAGCACTGTTCTCCAACACCACAACATAAAGGCATCGATTCATCTCCTGTCAGCCTTATTCACTGTCCAGCTCTTGGTGCAAACCAGGTGACTGGAAAGAGTATGACTTGAGTCGGACACATCTTGGTCTTTTAACTGATGTCATTGCTCTTCAGAATTTTGGGGAGGTCACTGACAGCAGCCTTTCCCAATTCTGTGTCTTCAGATCTCCTGACTACAGTACTAATAGTGTTGCTTGTGGATTAAAAAAAAAAAAAAAGATAATGTAGTCTATGAGGAAAGGAAAACTCACTGACCAGGGGAGGCAGTAAGGTAAATATCTGGTGGCTATCAAGTGGACAGGAGAAGATAC